GAAGTAATATTTATGTACACATCTTGGCATTTGGAGTTGATGGGCAATTTGACTGACCTTAATCCTTCCTCACTTCACGCACACCTTAGCAATGAGGAGTGAGAACTGACTAGTTTACCCCTCCGCTCTCCAGAGATGCTAAAATCAATTATAGTGCCTGGATGTCTGCATTAGCTGAGACTAGGATTTGAATATGCAACTTCTGGTCTGTGTTCAATGCCACGAGTCCCATCCAAGTGAAACCATTAGTCATTTAGCTATCAGAGGAGCTAGACAGTCGATATTTAATGGAGACATGAATGTTGTTTTATTTTAGGACAAAATAACTCTTTGATGAATTATTGAACACAGTCTTAATTTCTGTTCAAATTTAGTGAATTGCTCACGTGTAATTTTCCTGGTGCTATTGATACTAGTGGTTTTGAAACAAAAATGAACCTGCAAGACAGTGGATACACAACATACACATCTGGCTCCAGGACCACAAACCCAGACCCTCCCGCAATCTAACTCCAGGGTGAGTTTGAGACAACAGGTTCACCAACAATGAGCCCAGTAGAACCCTGACCTCCCCCTCCCACTTATTCCCCGTCCTTAGCCTTTGTAAAACACATATCTCCATAAGGTGAGCTCCCCATGGCAATTTAAGCTTCCAATTACAAATAAGTGACACCCCCCCACCCCGCTGTAGACTTTATTTCTTTGTGCGATTCAATGTTGTTAGGCAAATACTTACTGTTAATGTTGAAGAGGTGATAAGGCGATATATCAAATGCAAGGATTATTATCTACTTTACTCAATGATCCTGAATTTTTTTGAAGAAAGAAAGTTTTTAACTAAAATTACATTTTCAAGACATTCCATTGCTAATCTTTCTTTTAAAAAAAATAAAATGTTAGCAATTATCCAAGTGATCATCTGATTTGCTGCGGTATGAATTGGGGCAATTTTTGAAAGGTAAAATTAGATAAGTTAAAAGACTGGAGGGAAGTGGAAAATTTAATGAATAGCAGGTTTATTTAATATTGCCAGCTTTCAACTTGAAAAATAATGTTCTTTATGGTCTGAAAAATATCAGCTGATAAAACAGTGACCAAAATATCCTGAAGCCCATTTGATCAAAACAGACTAGATACTATTTTGAAAGGTTTGCACGACAAAAGCCCTTCAGCTTACGGGATCTCATCTTTCAGCATTAAGCTGTTTCTTAAATGACTCCAGTGTTCTGACGTTAAACACCCTTCTTGGTAACCCATTCCAGCTGTTCATTACCTTTTCTGTGTTGTAGAATCTTATTTTTCATGACTGAATTTGGAAGCACAGTCAAAATTTTTGGTTGGGATCCCTTTTTGTTTCACGCAACTGCAAATGAATAGTGGTTGTCTAGTCTTTTTTAAATAAAGTTTTATTTCTACCCACAGTTAATTTTCTGAAAAAAAATCCAGGCATAAACACAGTGAAAATGTTGGGGCCTCAAAAAATTCCGGTTATAGAGTACTTCTCAGGATGTGTATTTGCATCTCGCCAGGGAGAGTGTACACCTTTAATTCTAAGTACAGAGAAATTTCCATCTATAGATGGAATTCATATGTAGAACTCTGTCTGATTGCATAGATACTCTTAAGCGTGATGTTGGGTTTCTGCACAAGTCAGACACCGGCAGAATAAATGAAACATATCTTAAAATGGCTCTGCATGACTCTGAACCCATACTGCTATTTTTCTGTTCCATTTAGGATGTTACATATCTCTATACCTTCCATTCTGAGGAGTCCTTTATAAGGCTGAAGAGCTCCAATGCATCTAGTCATTCTTCAAATGATGTGCTGCAGTAAGAATTGGAGCTCATTTCTGACACAGTAAATGAACCATGATGTCCTCAACAATAAAAGTGACCATTATATGGCCAACGGGGGAATCAGCCATGGCTTCTGATTCACTCTTCACTGATACCTGCGGAATGTATAGAATTACCACTTCAAAGGAGCAGATACTTTAATTTCATGTTAGAACAATATTTCTGTTTCTTTCCAGTACCAAAAAAGTAGAAAAATAATATTTTTTAATTAAAACAATAATTTCTGGACTAGTTGATGCCCCTCGTTTTCAATGTGGATTGACTGAACAAAATTAAACTTTGGATTCCTTTCAGTGATCATTCACATCTGGACAGTGTGTGATATAGATAAAATGCAAGTCTGTTATCCTGCCTGACTGTAAAACAAAAACCATAGAGGGAAACAGCTGAGTTCAGGGTGCAGTAATGTGACTATTTGAATCCGCAAATGTATTGCAGAATTTGGTCCAGATTGGCATCGTGCTCTGTGCTACTGGTTGATCTCAGTCAGGAAAGTGGTGGGGCAATTAACTGGCGTCATTATCACTGGGTTACATTAATACTGAAATTACCAAATTAGGTTATTAATATGGTGGATTATTTACCTGATCTTCCCCCCGCCCCTCTTTCTAGTGAGATTTTTCACTCTATAAAACCATTCTTCACTGCTCCACGACCCTCATAATTGGCTGCTCTTACCCAGGCAATTTCTAAATTGCTCCATCCAAACTTCAGAAGCAGTATCTCACTTCCTTTTGAGTGCTCTTTGGCTGAATGGCCTGAACACTGATGTTAAATCTTGATTGGCTCATGTGATTTTAACAGCACAAAGTTCATACTGTCACTACATTTTTGTTTGATAAACCCAGTTTTGACATTTGTGTCATATACTCTCACCTCTGGGTCTGAAGGTGGTGGGGGGCTGGTACACTCATAGATCAAGCTCACACTCTATGACATCTGTTGTTAGGAAGTTACTTAAAAGAAAAATTGAACGTTCACTTCATGGCTGTTTGTGGGACATTGCTGAGCGCAAACGGCTGCCTACAAATAGAGTCACTACAATTTACATTAATTTCTGTGAAGTGTTTCAGAGGTCTGGACTATTTCTGTGCAGTGTTTGAAACAACTGGACTATGTGAAAAGATTGCATATCAACAACAACAACAACAACAAGATTCCATTTATTGAGCGCCTTTCACGTCGGGAGGACGTCCCAAGGCGCTGTACAGTTGGGACAGGACCCGAGCAGGGGGGAAATGGTCAGGGGGAGGGAAGGGTGGGAGCGAGGAGGGGGTAGAGAGTCGAGAGGGGAGCTGAAAAAATATATCAAATGCAAGGCTCATTTTATTATTAGTAAAAAAATTTATTTCCATTCTTGATTCCACATTAATGCAGACTGACCATGTGGTTTTACAAACATAATGCAGTAGGTTGTGTCCTTGCTCCATCAGGAGTCCTGTAGCTCAGTGGTTAGAGCACTCGCTTTGCAAGCGAGAGACCTGAGTTCAATTCCAGGCACAGGGCGAAACCTTGGGCAAGTTTCCTTACTCCACACAGAGCCTAATAATAATCCCTCCAAAACCCAAAAAAGTAATAAATTGGTCATTTTCAATCTACGACTGTTTGTGGGACATTGCTGTGCGCAATTGGCTGCCGCGTTCGCCCACAAATGTACAGTCAATTCACTTTACAGTGTGTTCTGTGAAGCACTTTGGGACGTCCTCCTGACGTGAAAAGCGCTATATCAAATGCAAGGATTATTATTATCAGTGTGGGCACAAAGGGTGAACGCTCGTTAAGAACTTGCACTTATATAGCACCCTTCGCATGGGATAGCAATTTACAGACAGAGTTAAAAGGGGGAGGTTACAGGGGGGGGGGGCTGGGTTGGAGATGAAGATACAGCAGGGGGCTGAATGGAGAGACCGGGGAGGGAGGTCACCAAAGGCACAGTCAAAGAAGCAGGTCTTTTAAGACCAACAACAACTCACGCCCCTTGTACAGCGCCCTCCAACACGGGGTAGCGTCTCGGAGCTCTTAACAGCGGCGGAGCCCGAAGCTGGAGGAGGCCGAGCAGATCTGCATGTCATCCGCCCACGTGCGGAAGTTTAAGCCGTGGTCTGCGGACGCCATCGCCAAGAGGGAGCAATATAGATGAGGAAAAGCGGAGGGGGCAAAGATGGAGCCTTGGGGTACCAGGCAGGTGACGAGTTTTGAAAGCAGAGACAAAGAGTGGGGGAGGGAGAGATGGGGCGGGAAGGGGGGGGGAGGGAGAGATAATAATAATCCTTGCATTTGACATAGCGCTTTTCACGTCGGGAGGACGTCCCAAAGCGCTTCACAGAACACACTGTAAAGTGAATTGACTGTATATTTGTGGGCGAACACGGCAGCCAATTGCGCACAGCAATGTCCCACAAACAGTCGTAGATTGAAAATGACCAATTTTATTATTGGTTTTGGTTTTGGAGGGATTATTATTAGGCTCTGTGTGGAGTAAGGAAACTTGCCCAAGGTTTCGCCCTCTGCCTGGAATTGAACTCAGGTCTCTCACTTGCAAAGCGAGTGCTCTAACCACTGAGCCACAGGACTCCACATGGGGGGGGGAAGGGTGGGAGGGAGAGATGGGGAGATGGAGGGGAAGGGGGGGGGAAGGGAGAGATGGGGGGAAGGGGGGAGGGAGAGATGGGTGAGAGGGAAGGGGGGAGAGATGGGGGGGAAGGGGGGGAGGGTGAGATGGGGGAGAGAGAGATGGGTGAGGGGGAAGGGGGGGAGAGATGGGGGGGAAGGGGGAGAGGGTGAGATGGGGGGAGGGAGAGATGGGTGAGGGGGAAGGGGGGGAGGGAGAGGAGGGGGGGAGAGGAGAGGGGGGAAGGGGAGGGAGAGATGGGTGGGGTGGGGAGAGGAGGAGGGGGGGAGGGGAGGGAGAGATGGGTGGGGGGGGGGGAGAGGAGGAGGGGGGGAGGGGAGGGAGAGATGGGTGGGGGGGGGAGAGGAGGAGGGGAGGGAGAGATGGGTGGGGGGTGGGGGGGAGAGGAGGAGGGGGAAGGGGAGGGAGAGATGGGTGGGGGGGGAGGTGTCCAGGACAAGGTCAGGGACCACAGTGCCTCTCGGGTGGCTCGGCCTCCTCTCGGCTGTTCTCGCGAGATGTGAGTGGCGGTGGTGGGGGGAGGGGCGGCGGTTCGAGGACGTTTGAATTCAATGGAACGCGGACGCGGTTGAAGGGCGGCCTTGTTCTAAACGGCAGCCGCGCCGCGTCGCGTCGCGCGGGCCCGAGCTCGAGCCACAGAGCAGCGCCGCTCCAAATGGCGTCTCCGCCTCGACCGGGAACCTGCGTGTGAGCTGTAAGTCCCCCGGGGGCGGCGGCCTCCTCCTCCTCCTCCTTCTGGTCACGGGAGGGAGGGAGGGAGGGAGGGCGGTTGAGCTCCCAGGAAAGGCCCCGAGAGGCGGGTGAGCTCCCAGGAAAGGCCCCGAGGGGCGGGCGGGAAAGAGAAGACAGAGAGAGAGAGAGAGAGAGAGGGAGGAAATCTTGCTGTGCTGTCGGAGCCTGAAAAACGAGCTCTTTGCAGATTAAATTAAAAATAAACCAACCGCCTCTCCCTCCTCAGAGCAGCTCTGCTCGTGGCGCTTCAGGCGGGTTTAGGGGGTGAGGCCTGAGGGGAAAGAAAGGGGCGCTGGTGAGCCCCGATCCTCAATCTGAGCCCTCGTAAACTCTCCCTCTCCCTCTCTCCCTCCCCCCCTCTCTCTCTCTCTCTTCTCTTCTCTTCCTCCTACAAAGTTCTCAGCTGGTGATCTTCTCAAAGCAGAATATATATAATCTTCCTCTTGATTTTGGAAACGCCACGCGTTTCGATCAACCTATCTTGTGACAGATTTGTTGCAATGTGTGCCACTCGTGTTGCTTTTTACACGACCGCATCAAGGAAAGGGATTTGCGGGGCTCGATAGGAAATCGCGCGGAAAAAAAAAGTTTGCGGGGTTGTCGGTGAATTTAGCGGGAAAATTGCAGGGAGGCACATTTTACTGCTGCATTTTTTTTTCCCCGCTCGGTCGATGAAAGCTAAGCCTAAAGAAATTAAGCTTTCATTGCAAAAAAAAATATTAATTGCTTCTGAAGTTTTTTTTTAAAAAAACCGGGTGGTGGCCATTTTTTTTTGAATGGGTGGGGGGGGGGGGAAGAAAGACCACCAGCCAGACTACAGGAGCTCATCACCTCCTGCCTCTCAGGGCCAGCACCGGCTACACACCCAGAGAGAGAGAGAGAGACACACACACAACACACACAACAACAAGACTCCATTTATAGAGCGCCTTTCACGTCGGGAGGACGTCCCAAGGCGCTGTACAGTTGGGTCAGGACCCGAGCATTGGGGGAAATGGTCAGGGTGTGGGGAGGGAAGGGAGGGAGCGAGGAGGGGGAAATGGTCAGGGTGAGGGGAGGAAGGGAGGGAGCGAGGAGGGGGAAATGGTCAGGGTGTGGGGAGGAAGGGAGGGAGCGAGGAGGGGGTAGAGAGTCAAGAGGGGAGCTGAAGGCACGGTCAAAGAGAAAGGTCTTGAGACCGGCCTTGAAGGAGGAAAGGGAGGAGGCGGCGAAGGCACTGGGGGATAGAGTTCCACAGCCTCGGGGCTGAGAGGCTGAAGGCCCGGCCACCGATGATAGGGCGGTTGGGGCGGGGGATGTGGAGCAGACCAGAGCCAGAGGAACGGAGGGTTACGGGCAGGTAGGTAGGGGGACAATCACAACAGCAGGGCCTCAGAGTAGAGCTGGAGCCCCCGAAACCTAGCAATCAATTGCGTCCAGGAGTGTCCCACAAACAGTCCTACGTTGAGTGACCAATTTTGTTTTGCACTGAACATTTATTGGCCACCATTGCTAGTTATCAACCGCGTTGTATCGGCTTGGCTCAGTCGCAAGCCTGTTCATTGCACTCTGATTTCTGGGTCAGAATGTGACCTGGGTTCCAGGGTGACACCCCACTAGTTTCTGGTTGGATCCTTATTCAGTGCTGAGTTTGCTAAGCTTAGTGTGGATGACAGTGCAGAATTCAGGTGCAATTAGCCTCAGCAGCTTTGGTTAAGGCGTTTAAAAAACATTTGGGGTTCATGTTCATAGTTGTTACAAAGAGCTGCTAGGAGCAACCATACCCACAATTAGATGCAAAAGAGTCAACTCTCGAAGGAGGAATTGAAGAGGTTGGCATGACGATGCCAGTTGCTGGGAATATAGATCCACACAAATCTGGGGTTAGTGAGCACTTGGAAAACAGGCAGATCAAGGGAAATGTTGCAACAGCTCTCTTTAGCAGACAGAGTGTGACATAACGACTATGTTTCGCCTAAATTGTGGCACTCAGTCGTATGTAATATGAAAATAGCAAGGATGCTTAGGTGATTTTGAATATATGAGGGAATACCTGCATCTCCCTTGGTTATTGGGGGAGACGCACTCACTCTGAGTTAACTTCCCTTCCTCTGGGAGAAGTGTACGACTCTATTCAGTGCAGACACATCGCAATAAAATTAGGAGTTGGGAGAGGGACAAATTAGCCCCTCAACGGGATTCTTGACCCACAATGTTGTCGTTACCACGTTTTCCACTTCATTCTGTGCTTCATTCGTGGTTCCTTTTAATAAATACAGTGCGATGCTTATTTCAGTCAATTTCCAGCTCATGTTCAATTTTCAGTCATGTCGATCACACATATACTGAAAAAGTGAGTTAAAATGCTAAAGTTACGGTCAGGAAATGCCAGTTTACAGCAGATCCGCCTGTTAAGTAAATTAGAGGTCGCTCAGTTAGTTCGGGTGAGTTGAGAGCAACCAGTTGAAATGGGTTACGTTTTGTTTACGGGTATATTTTCCTGACGCCCTCCTGTGCTGTGTTCGGGCATGTCCGGACAGATCTGCGTGATTCAACAAAAAGCTCCGTGTTTACTGTAATCTCTGAGGGCGACTCAGCTGTTGGTGACTGAGTCATGCTCGAACATGTTAACGCACAGACCTTGCATAAAATCCACGGAGGATATTGCCCTGACTTGTTTCTAAGGCTTCTATAAAAGGCTTCGACAGGGGTTTAAAAGGAAACAGAAGCATTTCATATGCTTCTCGCGAGGCACTTGCACTTTTGAGTGGTTGGAGTTGTTCTACCCATTTGTTTATTTCCTTATGTGAAACGTGTTTTTTTAATGTGAAGAAAATGTTTTTTTATACGGGGCTTTTTATTTGATTAAAAGGAATATTGGAAAGATGGCAAGAAACGGGCCAACAGCATGTTTCAGCACCTCAAATGAACAGCAATTGTTAGCTTCAGAGCAAGAAAGTCAAGTAAGTGATTTTTTTTTACCTTTTTAAAATTTTAACTAATTACGACAACTGAAGGCTTTGTATTTTCTCTATTAACAAAATAATAAAAATACGATGTTATGCCGTTTTGAAAAGTGTTCACTGTGAAAGAATCTTTTTTTGCAAACATTTTAGGTAAGACCGAAGCCACTTTTACTCAAGCTGCTGCAGTTTGCAGGAGCACAGAATGAAATCTTCACAATAAAGGAGGTCAGTCTTAAAATTAAAGTGACTGTGGGTTTTATTAACTAAATGATATTTAAGAGTTGTAATTTTTTAAATCTTTCATTGTATGCTCTTACATTTTGATCTGCACATACACTGTCAATGCACTGAAAGGGGAACACTTTTATTAAAAAAAAACGATTTTACTTTGTTGTGTTGAAAGTGACACAGTCAGGGCTCTCTTAGTGGGTAGGTGCATTGCTGGATTGGTCTGGAATACCCAAGTTTGATTTCCACTCTTTGTAATAAGTTAGCTGGTACTGGCTGACCTTGTTACGTGTCCTGACTTAGCAGTTTCTCTTAAGAGTCTGGTCGTGCTGTGGATCCATGGTATTACCAGAATTGCAGTACACTGCAGGCTTCCTACATACAATGAGCAGTGGCACCAAGCCTCTTAGCATACAGCAGTATCCTAGCAACCACTGGAAACTCAGAGCAGTGCCAGCTTCCTGTGCAACTTCAGCAGTGACCTGATGACCAGATGGTAATTTTTAGTGTTCCTTTTCTTAATGTGGGGCCTGAATTTATGAACACAAACCACTGCATTATAACTGGGTCACTGGAGGTCAACTGGCACAGTGGTAGCACTCTCGCCTCTTGAGAGAGAAGGTTGTGGGTTCAAGCCCCACGTCGAATCTTGGAATCGCATCGTCTAAGCTGACATTGTAAAACAGTCCTGGGGGTGACATTGTCAGAGGTACCATCCTTCGGATGAAGTGTTAAACCGAGGTCCATCTTCCTGTTCAGCTGGATGTTAAAGATTCCATGGCACTCTTCAAAAAGAATAGGGAATTTCTCACAGTGTCCTGGTCAACAATCCTTCAAATAAAATTGGTCACTTACGTCATGGCTGTTTGTGGGACATTGCTGTGTACGACTGGCTGCCGTGTTTTGCTCACAAAATACACAGTCAATCTACTTCACAGTATATCCCGTGAAGTGCTTTGAGACATCTTAATGACGTGATAAAGCACTATATCAAATGCAAGGATTATTAAAAACCCTCCACCAGCAATTGTCAGCAGTTTTTGGACAGCGTTTGCCAGGGGTGAAATCTGCACTGAACACAAACCTACACCTACTCCATTTGGAGCATTTAAAAACATTTGTTTTAAATTTTGGTCTATTTTTAAATATTCATAAGGCACCTATAATGTATAGAAAGTAGGAACAATGCATCACACATCATAGAAAGATTGTAATTTATGCATGTTCATTAGGCTCAATGGGATATTATTTGTAGATGTGTCGAGCTTAATTCTCTTCCCCCCCCAAACAAATTTGAAATTCAGAGACAATTTTCATGTCTAAACTACAGTGCAACACTTGATGCAACATAACATGTAACTAAAATCTGCAGGGACCTGTTTACTGGTTATAATTCTCAAGAATTATCTTGCTGATGTAAAAGACATTGTTATTCACTAAACAGTGAACAATAACAATTTTGTGTTCATATTTTGTAATGCAATTTTTTTTTCTTTTGCAGGTAATGTACTATCTAGGACAATATATAATGGCAAAACATTTGTACGATGAAAAACAGCAACATGTAGTCCATTGTTCAGATAATCCTCTAGGTCGCTTGTTTGGAGTACAGAGCTTTTCAATTAAAGAGCCGAGGTAAGATATTTGTAATCAATTTTCAAAATTTATTTTTGTAATTTACATGGAGACTTGCTTGCTTGTTTTCTACTTGATTTTGTTTTTTAATAACGCCTTCCCCATTATGTTTTCACGCATCGATTACACATCAGAGGGTGTGAGGCCTTTGTCAATACTACTATAAATCTGGCCTTTAGAAAATACTAGCTGTACCAGTTGCAGCTACGCTTGCAACCAAAGTATCCAATGAGATATAAATCATGTCTACGTCAATCGGTTGTTACGTTATTGGCGGACAGACGCACAACACCGATAGAATTTGGTGCGTATTAGTATAGATATATCTCTCTAGAAGGGTGTGTGATTTTTTCACTACTTTGTTGCAGAATACTATGCATACCTCATATTTTGGCGCTTAATTAAAGCATTTTTTAAATATAACACATCAGCAATAGGAGATCTCCGAAAAATCTCCTATCCATGACATTCCCTCATGCAAGAACTTTCCGATGAGGAATAAATCATGTCTTTACGTCAATCGGTTATTGCGTTATTGGCAGACAGACAGACACACAGATATTTTATCTATTAGTATAGGTGAAGAGTTTGAGCAGAACCCTCTTCCCTTGGATTTGTTATTAACATGTTCAAGATACATTTATTTCACTGAGCTATTTTTGGCGCTTTGGATAGATGTGTATACTTTTACACATATTAAGAATTGAAATGTAAAGTTAGGTAAAGGTTGATGAGCATAATAACTACTGAAACATAATCCTGATTAAGGCTTTGGGTCGAGAAGGGAAGAAATTTATGCATTTTTAAATTTAACTGCTGATCTGATGGTTTTTATAAATTTGAGTGTTGGGTAGGTTGGTAGGTGGTGTGATCAGTGTCCTCATGTTGACTTTGGTGTTGGACTGCCTGCTGGAAGAGGCTACGTGGAAGCAATAAGATGTATGTTGCAGATGGTGGTAGTAGTGCAGAATGCCATGTACCTACATATATGTACAGTGTTGCAGTGTTTGTTATTTAGCTGCACAGTTCAACTAAATCTGCAACATGAAAGGTAAGTGTCTAGCAATCTTTTACAAATACAGTGTATATTAGAAATCTACAGGCCAGAAAGGAGGACATTCAATTCAGCCCATCACGTCCACACCTTCTTACGTCTAATCCAATCCCTATATCAAATGCAAGGATTATTACTATACACATACACCTTTAAGCTCCTCTCTTTTATATGCCTGCCTGCTTTCCTCTTGAAAGGTACAGTGGATTGTCTCCACCACCTTACTTAGAGTCTGGGAGAGAAACATAAAGAAAGTAGAATCTGAGAGAAAGAGTATCAGTGTATAATGAAATTAGAAAGAGTTGTAATTTAGAGAGATAAAGACTGAGAGCAGGGCTAGTATATTGTGGGCTATAGCGACAGTATAACTTCTGGTGGACGAAGTTTTTGGTTAGTAATGTAACCAGTTTGTATTTTGCACGATGACTATTTACCCACATTATTTCCTTATCCACATGAGGCTTTTTTTTACAGATAACCGGCTCCACTATAATGATTTTAAAAGTCGACATTATAAAATAAACATTTAATTATTTTAATTTCACAGGACACTGTACACAATGCTGTCAAAAAATTTGATACCCTTGAACCCAGAAGGTACATATATTTAATTGTCAGTATTTTAATATGAATGAATATAAATGAGTTACTCTTTTATGTAATGTGGTGTAACGCTTTAAAGAAGTAGATTGGGACAGGAACCAATCCAAATTTTGCATATTTTTGAAACCCTGATGTCCATTTGGACATAGGATATTGTTTCCTGCAATCGTAATATTTAAGGTCTTTGGGCGTTGCAGCAGCAAAGTTGTGGTAGGAAGTTTTTGGTTCTCAGTGTTGGTTGCATCTTCATGGGGAGGAGTCAGGTAGAGTCTCTGTGGGTTCCTAAATTAGATCAGTCACTGCCTGTTTTCCATTGCTTATGAAAGCATTAAAAGCTTAAAATAAAAATAAATGATTGGGGATAGAGAAAGATTACAACTGACCAAGATGGAATTTCATGATTTTCATTTTCTTTGAAAGTTATTTTGTGTAGAAACCACTCAGAGACCTGGAAATCAAAATATTTCTTTGGAGTTCGTGCAGGAAATTAATTCCCATTTCTAATAATTCTGCCAATTACATTCTGACTTTTTTTGTACCTTTTTAAATTACTAGAGCTAGGAAACAGGTCTTTATAGACTTATTCTAAAATTTATGGTTTTATTGCTACATTTTATCTCATTATCAGCATGGTGCATTTTTTCTTTTCCCTTTCCTCCCCTTCCCCACCAAATGCTGCTGACAACCTTATGACTATTAAAGGCCTTTCACCCCTTTGTTTAATGGAAATTATTTTAAAAATCTGATAAAAAGGATGTTGTTATAAACCATGAAAGTGTGTGTATATATTTTAAAGATCATGTTTACAAATAGGATGACATTTCCAACAAGTGAATATGTATGCATTTATTTATATTATAAAGATTAGTTTACAAATAATCTGATCAGCTTCACTTGAGATATAAAATCAACATTTTTGTCAGAGGTCTAGATGTAATTGTATATCATTTTGAGTTGCATAATTTAGGTTTAAAAAGTAAACATTCATCTTATTCTATCTGCAGATTCTGCAAGTCACCTGCCTCTTATGAAGGAAATTAACTGCGAACTTGAAAGTGAAGATTATTTGGTAACAAAATGTTCTCGTTTTCATTGTTACTATTTCCCATTAATATATTATTGTTATTGAATGCTGGAAAATCTTGGTAGTGTTTTGTGTGGGAACTTTAATAACATGTTTATTTTTCTTCACCGTTGGTACTAAACCAACGCATAAACATGGTGCTAATAAAGTCAAAGATGACATAGGCATTAAAAGCAGACCTAAAGAAGGCAGTGAAGTAGTTTTGCTGTTATTGACGTATGTCAATCGTCCCCAGCCAAAGCCCTGAGAAATGGTTTTAAAAGTTTCTATAGCAATGGACTCTGGAATCAGTATTGCAGAATTATGCTGAGAAGAGATTTGAGAATAGAATACAGCAAACTATTTGAAAATGAGTATTAATGTTTCACCTTGAAGTAAAATAATTTAATTACTGTTCATTTCACAAGATTGTTTGTGTTTTCCTTGCTTTGTAGTATTTTCCATAATCTTATGATAATATAATAGCCATAACATGTTTTTGTATGAAAGCTAAAATTATGGTTGCTGAGTTCAAAACCATATTTAAGTAAATATTGTTTTTACGTTTTACAGAGGGTGAGGTCAAATGAAGGGACTGAATGTACATCGTGTGATGTTTCCCCTCTTCATACCTCAGGAAGGAAATCTACTTACTATGACTCTGGTAGGTATAGTATTGATAATCACCATGTAAAACAAATTTCCATGCGAGATGTTGAATTAGGAACTGTAGTAACTCAATGCTCACAGTTCTCTACACTTTATATATCTGTTTATGTTTCTGCTGAGTTTATATATTAACTTTGTCGCAGGACTATTTAAGCAACTGGATTACCCAAGTGTCACCAGATCGCAACCAGGAATAGGAATCCTGGCATTCTTTCTTTCTCTCGATCCTGCCATGCTTTTTCTCCCACCTCTCCCCTCCACTTGCCCAATGATTTTAAGGCAAATTAAAGCTAACACAATTTTTCTGTCTGAGATTGGTTATGTGGACACAACCCAGGGATCAAAACCTGGAACATTATTGTATAATATCACATGATGCAGTGGATTTATTCAATGAGCCATAAGGGAACTGTTATTTTTGTTCAATACATTCATATTATGTGGAATTTGTTTTTAGATAATGACGTTCCATCTGTTGAGCAACCTTACACTGGGCGTCGAAAGCGCCACAGATCAGATAGCATTTCCCTCCACTGGGACGATCTGTCTTTGTACCTGATAAGCAAGTTGCGTCGTGAACATGAAAACTGTGACTCATCAGACTCTTGCAGTAATGCGGTTAGTAAAACCTCAAACCTTCCAAATGAGGTTGCCTTATTCAACGTTGAATTTGATGTGTGCTTATGCGGTTGTTTTTCAAAAAGTAATGTTTTTTGTGTGACCATTGCTTAAAGTTAAGAATATGACTCCCCTGCTGGTCAAATTGCACTTTCATATATAGCTTGGTAAAATAGGATGGTTGATTCTCATTTGTTCACCCTCTACATACATACAGCTGTTAATCCAAAATGGTTAATGGAATAGGACAATGTTTGCCAGAAAAGTTTTTATTGGCACTTCATTAGTTGCTGGACATATGGTCTTTTACTGATTTTGCATCTCTGTTTATTTTGTCAGCAGTAATTTATCCTGTTGATCCGTGTCCTGCTTATTCTTTAGTGGTGAGGTTTGTGCTTAAATTGTGCTCCTGAGTATGTAAAGTGACTAATAACTTTTTCCCATTAAGTTTTGATGTCTACTGTTGCTTTTCAGATCAGAAATGCCAAACACCGGTTTGATTGTTAGGAGGGAGATTTCTACATGTGTTCAGTCAGATTCCTTTTGTCACTCAGCTTGAATCAAACTACAGTATCAATAGCTCTATATTTCCTAATGAGCTGTAATGCTCACCAAGAAACTCGCAGTAACTCCTTGGACCAGTCTGGGTCCATAATACGCCAGAGCACTGCTAATGACAGATCAGCCAACCTGGCCTGTCGGCAGGACTTAGAGAGGCATGGATTTTTCCCACTCAGCTCCTGCAAACTCTGCAAGCGAAAGCCCTGATGGATGATCCTAGTTGGATACATAGTAGGAAGCTTGCTAGGCAGTGTACTTAATAGCTATGTGATTTTGAGTTGGTTAAAATCCAACACACTCCATTCATGCCTTTTGCCAACTTGCACCAGTCTGGGATTAGGGAAGCAGGATATTGTCCCTCCAGGGAGAGTACACACATTCCATTCCAGACACACAGAAATTAGGTGGCATACATATGTGGAACTGTCTGGTTTGGATGCCCTTAAGCATGTTAATGGATTTCCACATGTCTGATATCTGGCAATGAAAAATAATAGCCAAATATAATGTAGTTTTTAATCCTTTATGGAACAGAATATTGATAAGCCAGTTGCTGTTTAATGTAAAAGAGGGCTCTTGCAGAATCCGTTCTATGGTTAACTCACTCAGCATAGACTGAGGATTGAAGAAACAACAGCAACTTGCATTTATATAGTGCCCTTCAAGGGGGCAGCATCTCGGAATGCTTAACACTGGCGGAGCCTGCCCTGAGTTGGTGGGAGGGAGGAAGTACTGTCTTGGTCTGTAACGCTCAACTTCACAATTGGCAGTAACTTTAAAGACTGATTCGATAAACCTCGACTAAGTTCACTTTATAATGGTTGCTAGAAACCTAAACCAACATTTGAATTCTACATTCTTGGGTCTCCTTCAAGTGAAATGCAAACATTGATTATTACAGTGGTCTACATTTATTACATAGTCTGTTTACTTGAGATTATATTGGACTTAAAGTGCTGGAACAGTTAGCAAATATTGTGTTGATTTCATAGGGCTTCAGTTCATGTGCTTTTGTGTTTCAGGATGTAGATGCTGGTACAGACGGTGAAGATTCCAGTGATAAATTCAGTGTTGAGTTTGAGGTTGAATCTATCCATTCCGAAGATTACAGTGAGCATTCACAAGAGCTAAGCGATGAAGAGGCAAGCTTTAAACAACCATTTTATTCATTTCAATAAATGCACATGCAGAGATTATTATTCCAAAATATGAAATATAGTGTCCTCCACAAATATCAATAAAATGCAAAATTATATTTGTATAGTGTCTTTCACGCCCATAGGATATTTTACTAAATATACATTTGCATTGCAGGTATATGAAGTTACTATATATGAAGCGGCTGGCAGTGATGAGGACTCCTACAATGATGACATTGATCCAGAAATATCAGCAGCTGTAAGTTTTTTTTTTAAAAAAATCCTTTTTGGGGTTGAAATTCTATTCGTGTCATGTTGCAATACGTTTTTGCTGCGAGTCAATTCCTTTTCTCCATCTTGCACCACGCATTTCTATATCAAATGATTTTATGCTGCTACCCAGATATGTTAGCGTGTCACAAATTCCACTCAGGAAATTTAATCAGGGAGTGGGATTTCTTTGCCTCAAATGAAATTTAAAATGAAGCGGAAATAAAACCAGTTTATTTTCCCCTGGAGCACCTGCTACCTGTGAGAAGGAGTGCAGACAATCTACTCCCACATTTCTACTTGACACCTCACCAGGGGACAACATTCCCTCTAGTTTCCCCCTTTTCCACCTTAGGAACACTGTTTTGTATCTTTTTACATCAGTACAGAAAAGACACAGTTCAATGGGGAATGCAGCACGCACACCTGGTTTCCAGACCTTAATCTGTATCCTGAATATTAAACTGCATCACCAAAGCAAGCCTTTTTACTTCTTGCTGTACATTTCCTTTGTATGTTTGGAGATTGAACATCAATCTTAATTTTGCAACAAACTTAAATGCAGGATTACTGGAAATGTGAGAACTGTGGAGAGCTGAATCCTCCGCTACCACGTTACTGTCATCGATGTTGGTTCCTCCGCCGGGACTGGCTTCCAGACAAACCAAAACGTCAGACGTGCAACACTGACCCTTTAATTGAGCAGGATGAAGGTATTGATGTCCCTGATTGCAAAAAACCATCACTTGAGACAAATGAATCTTACTGTTCAGAATCTCAAGAAACGGAGAGCTCACAACCTTCTGTATCAAGTAGCTTTATCAACAGTAGCCAGGAGACTGAAGAAAATGCAGAAAAGGGGGAGAAAGGTGAATCAAACAATTCAGGACCTGTAGAGCCTTGTGTTATATGTCAAACTCGACCAAAGAATGGGTGCATTGTTCATGGAAAGACAGGCCACCTTCTGGCATGCTACACTTGTGCAAAGAAGCTGAAAAGAAGAAACAAACCATGTCCTTTGTGCAGAGAACCAATTCAAATGGTTGTTTTGACCTATTTTAGTTGAATCTTTATGACTTATTTATAATTGTAGATTTAGCTTTCAATGAGGGAGTCGATATAGAAAGATGTACTGCTGTTTTAAATGTTGAGCACAGATTACACTTTAACCAAAGGAAGGTTCTGTTTAAGAATTATTTTCCTTTATTTTCAAACAAATTCTTTTCAGTTGTTATTGTCTTTATGGTTTCTGCTCTTCTGTTTTGAGGGGATCTCGTTTGGGTGATGAGGAATAAAGCATATGGAATTACAGCAATAGCCTACTACATTTACAGGCTATAATTTTATTTCTGTAATTCTTGTTGGGAAATTTTTCTATATAATAAACGTAAAATGTAGTTTAGATCTATTGAAGTGTCACTTTTATGTAAATTGCAGAAGAATGTTAGTACAAATATTTATCGTAGAGAACATGGCTTAATAGAGGTTCAATCAAAAAAGATAGCAGTAGTGAAAAGTCCAAATCCCTTCATTTAGAGTAAACGTGTACTACACACAGTAAAGTTGTAGATTAAATACATGGGAGTTACAGGCACTGGTAGTTAAATACAATATTGACACTTTTGGAAACATGCATTGATGACAAATCATACATGTCAATGGAACCATACACCAGGCAGGATTATGGAAAAGTAGAGATGTGATAAAATTAGCAAGATTGTTGCCATTAACCTGCTGACAGACTGAAGAGGGAGAAGAGCTGACCTTGGGTCAATCTTTTATTCAAATGCTGCTTTAAGAGCAACTGATGAAAACCTGGAACAATGTTACTTGTGCCATTATCTCCACAGGGAAAATGGAGAAGAGAATATCTCAAAAAGATGTCAACTTGTATGAAAACCTTGAAGCATTACTTTTGCAAAATAGTATGAACAAGTGTGGTCCTACTATTTTGCAAATATTCCAGGCCAGTTTACATCAAGTCCTGTATCTTTTTTCCCTTTTAAATACTGATGTTTTAGCACCTATTGCAATGTCACAAACAAAAATGTGTTAAATGCAAGTTAAAGAGCTGCACTGATCAGAAATAGGAAATGCTCAAACCTAGTTAATAGTTGCTTTGGTTCACTTTATCTAGGAACTTTGGTAACGGGAATATTGCCTGTAAAAATTAATCTTTAAGATACATTTCATTTAACTAGGTATGTGTTTAAGAAACTAATCTTTTGAGAGCCTTTTCACACACGGGGAGGGCCAATGCTTAGTCTTTAAACAGAACATTGCAAGCTATAGTTGTCAAATGGTAGTTATATTCTATGTAGATAATCCATACTTTTTATTTACACGTTCACTATATACAAGATCTTTGATTCAATTTTAATACACTTAACGCTCCCCCCCAAAAAAAATTCTATATCGATTCAATTGTATCCTGCAATGGGTGATGATGATGATGGTCAGTCAAAGAAACCAGCAGTGACCTACCCCAACTTCTGAGTTGGTAAAACCGCTGCCTACTGTGAAACTGAGTGATTCAGTTGTGTGCTGATTTAGCTGTTCTCAGTCAGGACAACGAGTATTGCATTTGAATTTAGCACCAACTGAGCTCGGGAGGTAGAAAACCAGAGTTCCAATTTCTACTGTGTTCACTGACTCCTTTTGGAAAAAGGGACCAGATGCTTTCTACAGTTCAATAGCTGCTGTGCTTGCTGTCTTGGCTCATATGCAACTAACTAGTTGAGAAAGGTTGAAGAGAGCTGCATATCCCCATGAATATGTAGCAGTAAAATTCAGTCCCCTCAGGGAAGGAAGAGGAGAACATTGGGTTTAAAATGTATAATTTCCGTGCTGCTCTCTCCTAAAGCATGGCTTTAGTCTCTTGTGTTTAATGGTGGTTTATATAGCCTCTGATTTCTTCACCTCACTCGGAAAAGCAAAACTTTGGAAATTATATTGATTTAACTTGTAATACCTGTACAGTAGCCAGAGCATTCCAGAATGTTGGTTCCATTTAATAAGTTGTCAGTACGGATGATGCTGTAATAGAGAGACGCTGCTGATATTTGATCTTGAGGGAGGGAGAGCTTCAAAGGGACATGCACCTGGACTGTTCCATTTTAACAGCTTGTTGGTAGGTGCGTTAAGGAAGCTGCTTAAACTTCAGGCAGCTTTAACCCCAACTGGCTTTAACCCCAATAAATTGACCTCACCTGTTTGGCTTGTCTCAAATTTAACCACAGTATTTCTTTCTGAGATCCTTCAGTCTCCCAGAATGGGTCTTACGTTCTCCCCCCCCACCCCACCCCCAACTCCCCTCAGTAATATTGATCTTTAACATATTCACATTTTGTAATGTTAATAGTTTGGGAATAGTTTCATAAATGTCTATTTAAAAACTAACGTAAGAAGATTTATTCACTTTTTGTCTCTTTGGACTTTACTCTTTAGAAAATGTGTGCAGCCTTTAAACTCGTATACTGGCTCCAATATATGGCTATTAGTAAAAATACATAATCTCATGCGATTACTGAAATTCTGAGGTCACTGTATCACACTCACTTCCTATTTTCTTTAAATAGAACACCTGAGTTTGCTGCTGTATGACCATACTAGTTTGCTTCAATAGGTTAGATAGTAAATAGCAGAATTGTCAGAAAATTCATGCATATTGTAATGTAAACATGTATGCCTTGATGTTTTTAACATTTGCTTAAAATTTAAACTGCATCTCTAGATGAGATCTATTGGGATGGACTGTTATATTGACTGTAGCATATTAGATAGAGCTGTTTTGTGCTTCTTTGCATTTCTGTTTGGCCAATTTCATACAATACTGAAGTACAATATTTCTGCAATGAGGTATTATAGATTGAAAAACGATTTTGTGTAAAGAATATGAGAATTTCATACTTGTATGCCGGTAATTCAACTTGCCTTTACTTTGATGAAGAATCTATTTAAGTTCTGAGTTCTGTATAAACTTTATTTTCAAACATCAATTTACTTTTGAAGAATAAATGGAAGATTTTGTGAGAAAATGTTGAATGTTTGATTTTTTTNACCTTTATCAAATAAACAATAATCCTTGCATTTGATGTAGCATCTTATCACTTCTTTGAGATGTCTCAAAGCACTTCACAGAATATACTCTAAAGTGAAATGACTATCTTTTGTGGGCGAAGCACGGCAGCCAATTGCGCATAGCAGTGTCTCCCACACAGTCATGGATTGAGTGACCAATTTATTATTTTTTTAACGGAATTATTATCCCCAGAAAAGCGATCTGCCAATCGACTAACAACCAGGTTCCTACTTACTGCTAGGTAAACAGAGGAGTGTGGCGTAAGGAAATTTCCCCAATGTTTCGCCCTGCCAGGAATCAAACCTAGGTCACTCGCATGGTTAGAGGTGATTCCTCTAACCACTGAGCTACAGGACTCATAAAATATAAAAAACAAAATATAACACTGAAGATATGAATGAAGATGGGAGTGAAAACTAGGCAGTTTAATTTTTTAATAGTTCTATGAGGTAGATGTTATTTATCTTGATACTAGTTCCATAAATTAACATTTTAAAAATAAAACTGTTTAAACATTGACTATGAGCTTTTTTTAAAAAAAGCTCATAATCTCTGTCAGTATTTGGTGGGATTCATTTAGCCTTGTAGTAAAATAGATGTAATTTAACAGTATGTCAGTCCAATTGTATATTATTTGTTTTGATTCAATAACTTCTGAATAGAACTGTAATCAATTTCTAATTGGATTCCTGAATGCCCTCTGATTTTCAAATAGTGACTCTTAAAAATGGGCCTTTTATTTTGGTCTGCCTGGTGTCATACACAACCTCTTACCATTTTTAAAAAGCAAGGAGAAGTGGGAGAGTAGTAAGGAATGAGGAGAGTATGGTGACTGTCAAAATAATACAGAATATAAATACAAGTTGGTAATGATTTATATAATAATGGGATTGAGAAATAAATTCAGTTATTTATTTGCACTTGAATAATCACCACATTACTGGCACATGGAGTGGTGAAAATTGAATTTCCAATTATGGAAGGACACCTATTTTCATCATGACAACACTGAACTAGCTTAACCTTGGTCATATATTTAACTCTTTAGTTGTATTCAGATATCAAATTGAATCAATGAATTTGTATGTGTTGCGAAAGAAAAACCCTATAATCAATTAAAATTGTTACTAAACCAGTTGAACATTCATTGGTATAAACATATGAGTTAAAAGAAAAAAAATCTTTGCATGTAACACTTTACATTTAGTATAAGTCTTAAAGCACTTTACAGGAATTACTGTAATGTTTAGTGACTATATTTGTAGGTGAACACAGCAATCAAATTGCACACAGCAATGTCCCACAAAGGACCAATTTTAGCTGAAGATTATTGGCCAAGCAGGCCACTGGGAGAAATTCCCTTTCAAGTCGTGCCATGGGTGATGTATTGGTGAGGATGCAGACCTTGAAATTGAACCTTTGAGAAACTGAACCTCTGCAGATGGCAGAGTTTTGCTGAATCTTGTGGATAGTGGAATTCTGCAAGAGTGCATTAGAAAAATCAAGGCAAATCCCCAAAGATTTGACAACAAATATTTAGAAATATTAAGATTAAATTGCAGTTTCATCTTCCCTTCTTCCTTAGGTTAATGCAACCATCATAGAGCTCTTATAATGCCACCTTTGTCAATGCTTAGAAAATAATATTGTTTTCAGATTATTACAAAGAACAATAGATTTGTTTATGTTCATATTTCTGTGAAATCTAACTATTGACTGTTGAGGAACTGAAAACGTTAGGAATTGCTTTGCACCTTTGTAGAAAAGCAATCTGATGTTAATACGTATAAATATGTAATGCCAAGCTTTTGGGGCTGGGTGCTTTATCCGGTAAAATGAGTGATCTATGGAAAAAGCCAAATACAATGCCTAAATACATTGGCACTGAATAACTAAAAACCTGCACTATTTACCTTGATTCTTTTAATAACTCAAATATATAACCAAGATCCTCCATTTAAATTTGATAGCTAATAGAAAATCAATGCATAAAAAAATGATCATTTGTTTTTAATGTCAAATATATCGCTTTCCAAGCTGTAGAGAAAAATCTCATTCTTAACGAAGCCTGTGGACTGCCATTTGAATCTTGGCTACTTTCAATGTCCATCAATATCCCCTTTGCAGGAGTTGTTCACATTACGTGCATACAAATGCACACAAATATGATCCTTCTTCCATCATTGATTCACTATACACGTCTCGTCCATTGGCTGTGGTCTGTACAAACAAGAAAAGAAAACTTACTTGTGCCAAACTACAAAGAAGTCCTGAATTTAAAAATACCAAATATAAACCAACTAGTTATCAATAAAATAGCACAGTTGTTATTCAGTGCTGCAGCCAAAAGTATAATTTACTTCTTTCCTTCACTTGCCAAAGTCCAAGGATATGAGTTACAAACAGAGGGTATCCTATACCAAGAAAAGTCTTAGCACCTTGCATTTTACCCACAAAATATACAGTCAATTCACTTTACAATATATTCTGTGGAACACGGAAATTCTCGAAGACATGATAAGGCGCTATATCAATTGTCAGGATTATTGTATCATTATGTATCATACACACTACTTTAGGTTGTAACAAAAGTTACTTATAGTCATTTTATTGAGAAATATTGTAATGCTATGCTTCTGATATAATAAATGACCTTTGTAAAAATCTTTCATACATTGAAATGTAGACTATTTTTGTTTCCTAAATCTGCTCAGGAACAACAAGGAATATGCTGCTGCACTAAATCAAGGTAACTCCAATTAGTTGTTGGAAAGCTGCCTCTAGCCCCAAAATCTGAATCCACCCATTTTTTTTAAAAAACAGTACTGTTAGATATTACTTTCATCACTTAAAACTTTTGTAGTATAAACATGGGTTAAACAGATATATCTGGCAGGATTGTATGTACCTGTACATTCAATGGAGAAAAAACATAAGGGCTTGTTAAAGCGAATCTGATAGGGAATTAATAGCATGCATGGAGTGATGTGAATGCTGTTCTCATGACCCAGATGTCGACCATTTTCCAAGTCATTAGGCCGCTGCCGATGGCGCTCTGTGCATGCGCGGTGTGCAAGAAGTGACCGAACGATGCGCAAGTCAAAGACAGTTTTTGCACAGGTCCAGCCTGCACACACATGCACAAAGAATAGGGTTTCTGGCCATCCACGCTCTTAAGCAAAGCTGCAATATAACGGTTGTATCGTATGTTCCACAACAAATCCATTTCAAGGGAATTTCCATGAGTCAACTGTGTACCATACTTTTTGATTCCTTGTTTAAGAAATCCCATTTAAAATCAGGGTGAAATTCATGGAATTGTTTCAGCAGAGTATTGCAGAGCCTTCAAATAATGCAGCACTCCCACAATAAAAGTAAATTTTTTTGGTCAGTCGACACATGCAGGAAACCTATCATCCTGCTTAAGAGTATCCAAACCAAACTGAGAATTCCATGCTTCCCACCCACACATTGCAATTCTAGAGATAGATTGTTGGAATGGAATGTGCACTCTCTCCCTGGAAGGACGCATCCTGCTTACCTAATTCCAGAAAGTATTAGGCACAAGTTGACAAGAGCCAAAGATTGGTGGACCCCAGAGTGTGCGTAGTGGTGCTGCTGCAGTCTAACCAGCTAAAATTGCATAGCTTGCTATTGATATTGCTATCTGGCAAGCTTTCCCACTGCTTGTCTAGCTAGGACCATTAGGACTTTGGCTCGCAGCGTTAACAAGTGCTGAGTGGGAGGATTCCTTGGTCTGCCTCAAGTCTGACATCTATTGCTAAATATGCCACCTTGGGGCCAGTTCAGCTCTAAGGAGACCCTGTAGCCCTCCCCCCGCCAAGGACCATAGTCACTAGTTGGTCGTTCAACATCCGACAAGCACGGGTTTGAGCCCTCACTAGGAGGGTGGCAGGAACTCCCTGCGAGATTCCCAGTGAGCAACACAGCTCAGCATGAAATGTGAGAGTATTGCCAAATACAAGTGTAGAAGGATTGCACCATTGAAGTAATCATTCCGAGACAAAACAAAGTTCCATTCTCTTTCAGTGGATAAAAGCCCAACTCCTTCTTTTCTCTCCCATCTCCTACGAGAATTTATTCTTGCTCTGAAAAATACCAGACTAAGATGACTCTTCTGCCACTATCAAGAAGATATGATATAATTAGTGTAAATGTACTTAAGAAGTAATAATCTTTTTTAGAGTAAAGCTGGAAATGGAAAGCACCAACAACAAGAACTTGCTTTTATACATCGCACCCTTCACGATAAGATAGTCTCACAGCATTTTGGGCTAAGCTTATTTCTGCAAGTTTCAAATGAATATTCAAGAAGTACAAAATAGCTTACACTATTTGAATCACTGCACTTGCTTTTTAACCAGTTTTCTCATATTTTCTCTGCTCCCACTTCATTAATTGAGGTAGAATTCTACAGCCGTCCACTCACCAACCTCGTGTTTTGCTCATGTGGTCATTTGGCCTGAGTGAGCCGACACCGTGAGAAATCTTAATATTTTATAGTATTCCATGTGAACTTTAGGTTGCAAAGTTTACGTCATCCACAGCTGTCACAGCCTTCCATAACTGTAACACTCAAGCTACCCAGTGCTGAGGTAGGCTGGATCTGTACAGTTTGGTTGCCGCAACATAAGGGAGGTTGCCCAGGCTTTAGAGACAGCGCAGAGGAGAGCAACAATAATTAACCCCAGTAATAGAATTGTTTCCCCCAGTAATAGAAGAATGACATATGAGCAATGGTCTGACAGGCTGGACCTTTTCAGTCTTTAGAGTAAGACCTTTTAGAGACGTACAACATTTTAAACGGGATTGAAAAAGTAAACTCACAACAATATTTTACAATGTACCAAGACAGTAGAAAGAGAGGATAAAGATTTAGAGTTGCAAAGGGCAAATCTTTGACAAAACATCTTGAGATTCTGCGTGGCTGCACTGGAGAAGTGCCCTTGAACTGCTGAATCAGATCACACTTCCATTCTTCCCAATTGTTTTATTTTTCCTTTAATAAAATCTGTAGCCAATTAAGGCATACTTAAGAATACTGTATTTCATATTCAATCAAGAATATTTTAAAGCAATTATAATATAATTAAGGATCTTTTCAAAGATTGTTTTATTCACATAATAAAAACCTGTATTTTTTTCCCAGTTTATATCAAGCTCTATTTTTCCCAAGTAAAAAAAGTTAAAAATGAGGGGAGTGGGGGTGAGAAATTGACAAAACAGAGTCAGTAAATTTGGTGAAAATTGGCAGGGGAAAAATCTGCCATTGATTTGCATTTTCTACTCATATTAAAGGCAGCCAGAGAAATATTATAATGTTTTACACTGTGCAATTTCAAAAAAATCTTTCAGTCTGGGATCACCAGGAAGAACTGCGGGCAATTCTGATGGCAAGTATCACACCGGTTGGGATAAACATGTCCTGGATCAGGTTGCACACTAATAGCGCCACACTGAACCTTCACAGGATTCAGACGTTATCTGAGAGCTCTCCAGGTTGTGCATTCAGCAGAACCATGATTCATGCACATCTCAGAAGTTGGAAAATTCAAGGGAATTGGGAGAAAATCATGTTTTGCTGAACAAACTTCACACACAAAAAAAAAGACAGTGATAACTCCCTTTAAAGGGATATACATTGCCATATATGGCAATGTCAGTATTGTAAGTATCATTTTGGTAAAAAAATGTAATTGAGTGGATTTGTTGCTGTGCTTCAACATTAGGAGGTTGTGATTCATAGGTTAATGAAGGAGAACTGTACAAATGATCATGGGACAGACCAATAAAATGATATTTTGCTGCATGAGCAGTGCTATGTTAACAGCGTTTTGATAAGTATAAATACCATCTTTAATAGATGGCACATATGTAATATTGGTGGTGCTGAAATGAATGTTGAGCTTCATTGCAGAAAACATGGTCTCATTGTTGGAAAGTTCAAAGTCCTCCAGAATTGTTCCAACTCCTGGCACAGTAACCTAGAAGAAATACAGTATAAGTCAGCCTTCCCATTGAATTGAATGCACCATTGTATCATTTCCTTAGATAATATGTTAATGAAATCACACAATGAGAAACATTCAGATGCTTTAAGTACTTCAGAACCATAGGTTTTACATCTTAGCATTTTGCATGAATAATTCCATTATTCAAATTCACCGTGGCTAATAAATAAAACAAAGTACATAAGAACATGTAGTATGTTCACTGTGACTATACACATTACAATACATATTTTAGGCATCATCCTGGCTGAATTGGTAGCACTTTCTCCTTTGCGTCATGGGTTCAATTCCCCACACGCACCTGACACTATCTTCACGTCAACAAGTATGGATAATAACAATGAATAATAATTACTTTTGTATTTAAGCATATAGTCTTCAAATTGAGTTTCTAACAGTTTCAGGAATATATAATGCATATTAATGTAAATTTCCTCTCCCAAAAAGTGCTCTCTTGCATTGATACGGTTCTATAGACAGAGTGCTGTCTGTAATTAATTGGCATTTTTTTTTAAATCCGGGGTAATCCAAGGACATTAGAAGAAACTCCCTTCTCTTTTCAAATAGTTGCAATGGATCTTAAGCATCTACTGGAACAGGCAGACGAGACATCCTTGGTTTAGCTTCTCGTCCAAACGATGGCATCTCTGACAATACAGAACTACCTAGTGCTTCATTTGACTCTCAGCCTACAGGGTGAGCTCGATGTCCCATCACAGAGCTTGTACCCACAAACTTCTGACCCAAAGGCAAGAATACAACCAACTGAGCTGTAGATATTTACACTCGTATATAATAATTGTCCTTACATTTGATTGCATAGCATTGCATATCTTATCTCAAAGGTCTTCACAGAATTTTGTGTAAAGTGGAGTGATTGAAAATATCAGCTGGAAAATATGCTTGGAAGTTAAAAAATAATTGAATTTAACTCACAATTAAAGTGTATGATCCAGGCAACAGGAGTCTATAGTATTCTCCCCACTTATTAGTTTCAAACGGGTAGATGTTATCTCTGCCTTGAATCTGTACCTGTGCATTTTCAATAGGATTTCCATCAACATTCAGAATTTGCCCTTTTATACCTGCAAAGATGTAGATTTAACGATATTAACATGGAACGCATTGGAAGCCACTTTATGTTCAATTTTCCAGCCATATTCACTGTATATTTTACCCACCTGTCTGCAAGAGGAAGGAAAAGGGTTATCATCAAGTGGAGAATGTGGGAGTTCCCTGTAGACAATAAATATGTATGTAGCAATCAGGTATGCCATTTAACTACTTCTGCTTGTAACTTGTTTCAAGCCCAAATACCAGTACTAATACGCCAACGAAAGATATGAACGTGTATAATACATGAGAAGTTCAATAAGAATGCTTGGACAGGAAAAACAAATCATGAATAGCATTTTAATAATAATAATCGTTGCAATTGATATAGTGCATTTCACATCTTCGAGATGTCTCAAAGCGTTTCACAGAATATACTGTAAAGTGAATTGACTGTATACTTGTCGGCAAAACACAGCAGCCAACTGCACACAGCAGTGTCCCGCAAATAGTCGTGGATTGAAGTGACCAAATTATTATTGTTTTTTTTCTTTGAGGGTTTATTATCAGGATTGTGGAGTAAGGAAACATCCCCAAGGTTTCGCCCTTCTGGGAATTGAATCCAGGACTCTCGCTTGCGAACCGAGTGCTCTAACCACTGAGCTAAAGGACTCCACAATAACACAAGTGACAAGATAACTTACTTTCAAGTGTTGCTAGACCAGTAATGTTATGTTTAGAGTGCGGTAAGAATAAGATTGGCATTGTAACCTGTAAAAATGTTGCATAGACACAGAAACAATTTCAGTAGGACGTTGAAAAGACTAGAACCAAAACATAATGAGTCAGTGCTTTAGAATTATTGAACAGCAGACAGAGATAACCAGCGAATGAGATTTGACACATACCTAAATGAACCTGTTTGAGGAATTCAATCAGGGCCACTCGATTTTCTTCCCAAAATTCCTCTAGTGTATGTTCAGGTGGATTTTTACAACAAGATAACTCTAGTGTTAATTCCAAACACTGTCCCCAAACATAATTGAAATCCTGCATTCCACCTAAAAAAGTTAAAATGCTGTTTTACTGATCGTTTAGCAAGATGAAAGTTGTAAAATACTCACCTTTTAGCCGACTGAAAAACTAAAAATCCATTTTAGATACAGCGTAAAAATCTCATTTTGCAGCTGTTAACTTTCTGACATGTCGGACTTCAGACACAGCTGGATTATACTACATAAATATTATTTTTATTAAATATTATGTATTATTATATACTAAACATTTTATATGTTCAATGGACTTCAATTCACTGCATTTCTATCACCATTTTTGAAGGTCGAACAATTGAGTTAAACCAGTTTACACTTCTATATTTTGCAATGTGTACAGCTTTTCATGTTTTCAGATATACAAAATAATAATCTTTGCATTTGATATAGAGCCTTTCAAGTCGGGCTGACATCTCAAAGTGCTTCACAGGATTCACTGTGAAGTGTACTAACTGTGTTCGGTAGACAAATGCAGAAGTCAATTTGCATACAGCATCATCCTACAAACATGAAGTGAATGACTAATTTCATCTGGGGGATTGTTGGACAGGACACTGGAATAGTGAGACAGGATCTTTAATATTCATCTGAACCTAGACAAACTTTGGTTTAACGTCTCAAAACGCTCTTTGACCGTGCCTTCAGTCACGCCCCAACCCTACCCGCCACCTGTTCCCTTGTTCGGATCCAAATCCCTGTCTGTCCAGTGGCTTGGGACGTGAAAGGCACTATACAAATGTAATTTGTTGTTGCTGCTGCTGTTGTTGAAGTAGGATATCTCATCCAAAGCATGGCACTTCCAAAAAGCTGTACTATTCCAGCACTCCTGTTCCCATGTTCAAACTTCTATCAGATTGTGAGAGATGTTTAGTTAACTCATTAATACTGTTCCTCCTAACTTAGTCATAGTTATATTATAGTTAGGAAAGGACTGCTATATAAGGCTGCGAACACACTTATGAAAAGTTCCTCAGAACCAATAACCATAATTGGGTGGGCGGGGGTGGGTGGGGGGAAACAGTGGGGAGAGCAAGAGGATAGAAAGGAAGAGAATGTACCACAACATGTCCCACTTATAATTGATAATTTGTCCTCATCTGAATATCTGCAGGTCAGAATGTAAAGCTAATTGAATGCAATGTTTATTTCATTTAAAAAGTTTACCTGCTAAAACATACCACTGAGCTCCATTGGTAATTCCATCCTGGAATTCTAATGAATTAACACATATTTCTCCGTAGTACATAATCAGGTGATTATACGAATATTTCTTTGCAAGATATATGAAGATATCATCATCGGGAGTTTTACTGTATTCTGGCAACTTCTGTCCGTCTTCAAAAAAAATAAAAGAACAGAAGTTAAAGGGAATCCTGTAACTGAGGCCAACACCACACCAAATACCTCGACGGATAGCCAAAAAATGAATTGAATTGTAGATTTTAGGTGAACTGATACAATAATAAACTTTGCATTTGATGTAGTGCCTTATCACGTCTTCTAGACTTCTCAAAGCGCTTTACAGAATATACTGTAAAGTGTAGTGTCAGTATGTTTTGTGGGTGAATCGCAGCAGTCAATTGCGCACAGCAGTGTCCCACGAACAGTTGTGGATTGAATGACCAAATTATTATTTTGAGACCTGTACAATGTAGCAAAACAATTCAGAATAATTTCAGACTCAAAATGCCCACAAACAATCTTTTAAAAAAAAACACCAAGTTTTTTCCCAGCATGTTTTTGTGCGCATATCAGATGAGAATAAGGTTAATCCTGGTTACGATGCCCTCTAAGGCTGAACAGAATGATGCCTGGTTGTAATGATTCTCAATCCACGACACTGGTGCATTAAGTAATTTGTTTCTTCTCAGCTCGCAACAATCCATAAACCCACTCTCTCTGGTTCCTTCCAGGGTCCATTTCTACTTCTTGCTTCTATTTTATCGGCTCTTTCTTAATTGCCATTACTTCTTAAGACAATATACAACACTGGTCTCGGCTCACCCGTTCAGAATGACCTGGCAGGTGACCAATTGCAGGTTAGCAGTGGAGAGGCAAAATGGAGAAAATTGGCTAAAAAAAATCTATCATGTTCAAATTCGGAGACGTTCAGTTAACACATAAGTGCGCTGGACACAGACTTTTGATGCTTGAAATTACTCAAGATCTTAGCCTTAAACTTGAAGGTCATGTGGAAGTTTAGAACATTCTTCAATTCAACCCAACCTTGGAAGCCAGTTCCACATTAACTAAAATGAACTGCAGAGAAACATCTTCCAAATTAAAAGTGAATTTAAGAATTCTCTAAATTTCTGTACAGTCATACGTTTTAAGATTTACGGCTTCCGTGCGAATCTTATCGTGAAAGACCATGAGAAATGTTGGACCTCCAGTATTATGCAAATTAATCCTGAAATCCTGTATTAAAAAATAGGATTAATTTAGTGCAACACACAATGTCTTAAACGTATGTTAAACATAACCTACCAGATTTTATGTTGTCAAATGGGTAGCTTGCTACGACATCTCCTCCATGCAAACTTGCAGACAGAACGAAAGATTCACTCATAACCCAGTCTATTACTGCCGAAGTTTCTGGTTGGCGAATTGCCAGAGTATTATTTTCAAAGATATCAGGGAAGTTCCTATTTAGATCGTAAGCATTTTTATTCTTTCTGAGGAGAGAGAGAAAAAAAAAGGCTATGACTAACTAAATCTTAAATGTAGACAGATAAATTTGCTCTGGACAAAAGTTACCTATTATAGGATCAAATAATAATGATAAATAATTCTTTAGAATTTCCTCTTTTGTCCACTACTGAAGTGGGGCTGGCTAGAAAATTGTAGTTTGATAAGAACGTTTTATTAATTATTTTAGTATTTAGACATCACTGCTGCAAAAAAATAACAAGGAATTTCCTGCTGCATCATAGAATTTAGGTTCAAGGGAAGGCTCAGATAGATAGAACCTAACATTGAAATACAATCCGTCTCAGTGTGAAGATACTTAGAAAAATTAAAAGTGATGTTCTTACCTGCCTTTAGAGTAATTGCAATCTGGTTTTGCGGTCCGTGTAATTGCAAATCCATCTGGATTCATGGATGGCATGATGTGAACTCGAGTGCTATTTATCAATGCTGTTATATTGTCATTTACTCCGTACATTGTAACCAGATGCTCAATAAGGTGAAGCAACATTTCTCTTCCAACCACCTGTAGTAAATCATGTTTTGCATTTTAAGTTAACTGCATCTTTAAATGTAATCTTATAAGTTTCTTCATCCAAGATTCCAGCGTACACTCTAGACCCGGGATTCATTTTTCTAGAGCTCCCATGGTCAGCTGGCTGGACTATGTTCAATTCTACTGTCATCCAATGTCCAAATACATGCAATTTCCAGTAGGGGTCACTGGACAGGAGTGGGAATCCTGGCTGATCTATTTCTCTCTGACCCAAGCGGTGATCCATTGCTGCCCCAGCTGAGATCAGCTAACTCAACAAAGACTTATCTTATTTCATACATAAAACAAGAAACTCTTATTTTATTGCATGTTTTATTAATTCCCAGTTTTAAATTCAATGTCTAAAGAATTTGTAAAAAGTTTCATCTTTTTGCCATATTTAAATAAGATAACTGAACCCACGTATCTCACCAAGTTAGTGGAAAAATTGTTTGCATTGATTTGTTAAAAATAATAATTGTTTTTATCAACTGAAAAACTTTCCATATGGTAGTTAGTTGGAGGACTCAAATATCAATTTCATATCAAATATGAAAGGCATTGATACGATTGTTTTGTAAATATTTTGGGGAACAGCAGCAAAATTAATCCTTGGAATTAAACTAAAATTAAACTCTCTTTTGTGCACACAGAAGGAATTACCCATTAGGGACATCCACTTCCTGGTTTATTTACAACAACAACTTGCATTTATATAGAGCACCCTTCACGTGGGATAGCATTCAGGATCACTTCACAGTGGTGGATTTAGGAAATTTACACCAACATTTCATCTGATCACATGTCTGATGCACCCATGAATCTTCCATATTCAAGAGCATTTTACGGTCAGAAACGCTGGAATGTAATAACTAACTGTTTCAGTGCTACGAGTCAAAAAGTACAGTGCAATTTCGCTTGAAGATATAGGTGACTGCTGGGAGACAGGTTAACACGTAAATAATACACTAAGTATCTGCTTTCTAAACAGATTTATGCAGTGCATTTTAAAATATAAATGGCATTTTTATTTTTCTATTTAGCATCAAACAATTCAAAATCTGAATATTACCTTCCTTGTGTTGTAAGTCAATTATGGAGGAAATTAGAATGGAGCATCTGATGGATTACAATCCCTTCCTGATTTAGTGCAAATGAATAACTTTTCCCTCCCTTGTTATCCAAAATTTAACTTGGGTTAAGCCTTGAGAATACAGACTATTGAAAACAAATGTACTAAGTTATCATTATGCTATGGTTTGGAGGGCAAAAACAGAAAATGATGATGAAATGTTTTGAATCACATATGAGGTCATGTTTCAGTCATTATTATAGGTCACAGAATACTTCAGTTTTGGATTTTGAAACTTAAGTAAAATATTTTAACAAGAATTGTTTTTGTTTCTTTTGAGCACAAACTCCTATTAATTTATGTATAGTACAGTATTTGTATTTTCTGCCTGTTCTTTCCCTGCACCAATTTTCAATCTTCCTATTCTGCAGGCAATAACTCTCGCTGCTGGTGTATACGTCAACAAACAATGGTGTCTCACTGTCACCTGACAAGTGGCTGTTTTTTTTACTTTTGAGATAGCATGGATCAGACGTTAATAAGGCACACAGAAAAATTGTTACCTCATCACCGTGGATATTAGCAACATATTTTATGTCAGGAATCCCTACAGCGTGTTTTGTTGGATATTTTCCAATTGCCAGAACCCAGAGATCAATACCTGCAACCAGATATACACAAAACAGAATTAGTTACTTAGCAATTTATCAACCTCTGGTGAAGGTCTTCTGTAAGCACAGCAAGCACTAAGTCCATTATTAAACTCTTTTAACCTATTCATTCTTGTACTCTGAAAAATCAAGAATGTGTGTATCCTGCTGAAGCACTAGACGTATGCACTGAAGTGAAATGTGTTAACTTTCTGGACAACTTTCAGTGATGTACACATGCATGCTGACATTTCTGTTTAATATTTTGCATATTATAATTTTTTATTCTTTCAAAAATTCCAAAATGAAAACCATAGTTTGCTGAATACTTGATTTTGGGACTATTATTTTATGTTGCCCCCCGCTGATAAAACTACACCATGTTTATTGTGTGTCATTTGTTCTGTTCTGAGAAAGGTTGGACTGACTTGGAGAGATGAAAGTGAATTCCACCAAAGTCTCAGTTAGCAGGAACAAAGATAGCAATGTTGGAAATCTTGAACGGAACACAAAATACTGCAGATGCTGGAATCTAAAACAAAAACAGAGAGAGCTGGGAAAAGTCAGCAGGTCAGGCAGCATCTATGGAGAAAAGAAAGTGAGTCAACCTTTCGGGTCCACGACCCTTCATCAGAACACGTGGACCTGAAAGGTTGACTCACTTTCCTTTCTCCATAGATGCTGCCTGACCTGCTGACTTTTCCCAGCTCTCTCTGTTTTTGTTGGAAATCTTAGAAATGGCTTCAGGTACAGCCATAATGATGAAGTTCATAACCATGGTAAACCTGCAAATCCAGGTTAATGTGTACAAGGAACAGAAGACGTCAAGGCAGACAACTCAAAATGTACTACCTGTTTTTGAAGAGAACAAGAACATACTTGAACTGGAATGAACATTTGAGAAGAAGTGCAATTGCAAAATTGGTTTAGTGATTAAAGAAGCATTGTTGCCAGATAAATTGTCCTGTGGAATAACTAGATGAATTGTCTTGAAGGACGATTTACATGGTTAGAAACAGATGAGAACAATAAACAGGTAAACCAACAGAAAATTATTTACGAACAGATTGCAAACAATTTAGAAAACTTACTATGGTAAGTTTATGCATCTATTCAGTAATTAGTCTGATCAGTGTAATAGAGAAGTTCCACATTTATGGAAGTCCATATTTATGGAACAGGTTTCTGGAACATATTCATTTATGGAATACATTTCATAACCATGTTCCATGAACCTTGGTTTGATTCCTGGGCAGAGCGAAACGTTAGGCAAGTTTCCTTACTTTCCACACATCTATGTTCACCAAGCAGCAAGTAGGAACTCAGTTGTTAGTTGATTGGCGGATAGCTTTTCTGGGGGTAATAATCCATTAAAAAAAAGTTTTAAAAAATAATTTGATCACTCAGTCCACCACTGTTAGTGGGACACTGCTGTGCACGTTTCACCCACAAATATTTTATTTGTTTAATATTTAATAAATTAATAATAGTATTAATAAATATTTAATATAAAATAAAATTTAATAAAATAATTTTTTATTTTATGGTCAATTCATTTTACAGTATATTCTGTGAAGCACTTTGAGAGGTCTCAAAGGCGTGTTAAGACACTAAATCAAATGCAACGATTATTATTATTGTAAAAGTTTGGAAGGATTCTGTTGCAAGAACTGAAACTGCCAAAAAAAGAAAATCTTTGTTGAGTTGATTATGTCACTTCTGCTGCCCCAATTTGATATTCTCCTCTCTTGAAGGTGCTGGCATATTCTGTGGTACAGTTCTATGGTGCTCCAAGTCCTTAATACCTTGCACGATGGACTGTTTGTGTGAACTAACACAACTATTGTTGAGCTATTTAATAATAATAATAATCCTTGCATTTGATATAGCGCTTTTCACGTCTTCTCGACATCTCAAAGCACTTCACAGAATATGCTGTAAAGTGAATTGACTGTATATTTGTGGGCGAAACACGACAGCCAATTGCGCACAGCAGTGTCCCACAAACAGTCGTGGATTGAAAATGACCAATTTATTATTGTTTTGGAGGGATTATTGACCCAACTGTACAGCGCCTTGGAACGTCCTCCCGACGTGAAAGGCGCTCAATAAATGGAATCTTGTTGTTGTTGTTATTGTTGTATTATTATTTGGCGGGTGGAGTAAGGAAACTTGCCCAAGGTTTTGCCCTGACCTGCCTGGAATTTAACCCAGGTCTCTCGCTTGCCAGGCGAGTGCTCTAACCACTGAGCTACAGGACTCCACAACTGTGAGGGTCACTACAGCTGATTACATGGTGTCTTGGTTGGTGTCGAACACTTAAATGTAAATGTCACCAAGAATGCAAAAATCCATTTTGGAGTGAAAATCATATGTCAAGATTCAATTTTTAGCAGGGTTCACAGCACTTCAAATCAACTTTCCTTTTCCTTGGAGTAAGGAAACTTGTCCAACATTTCGCTCTGCCAGGAATAGAACCCAGGTTTCTTGCTTGCGAGGCGAGTACTCTAACCCCTGATACCTTCAATGCATAAAAATACTCACAATTTAAAGGATAAATAAAAAAATGGGGCATTCAACCACTGCATATATGAGCAGGCTGTGTAACAAGGTACAAGAAATACAAGAATTATTTATTGCTATTTCTGCCATCAAAATACACAGATTAGATAGTTTTCTTTTAGGAAATAACACTATAACATTATGGGATATAGTACATAGGTCGTTTGGGACATGTGTGCATGTGACCACCAGGAAGGTGGAAGGGGAACTAGATGGACCTTGGTCTTTTTTCGTCCAGCATTTCTTATGTTCTTAACTATGAATTTTTAAAAGTTAACTAAGTTCATCATCAATTTCATGAATAATGCCTTTCGAAGTGCTTGGTCAGCTAATGAGCAATTGTACTATATATATTATAGTATTAGTCCCATGACTATATATATATATTATAGTATTAGTCCCATGATTGCAGTAAATTTATGTCTCGTGTCTTCTGAGTCATTCCGCAACTTCACACTGCTGTGAAAGAGACCACATTTTATAACTGCTAACCAAATATGACCATGCCTTTCTAAAAACATCCAGGAATTGCCCACTAAAGACAATACAACTGAGCTTGTTTGATTCATGGGCAAGTAGGAAATGAAAGGTAATTGAGTAACTATGGATTTCACAAGCAGCAACTTTAACTACAATCACTTTGTACAGCACAAGTACCTTCTATAAGCAGACTGGTACAGATCCATTTTTCTGTCGTAGTCTAAATCGATTCTTCTCCCTACCTCTCTTTACAATGTCTCCTACTAAATGGGAAGCATATCTGTTCATGGTGGTTGTTAAAGATCCCATGATACTATTCAAAAAGTGACTGGAATTTCTCCTGGTGTACTGGGCCAACAATGGCCCAGATAAATTGATCATTAACTTCATGGCTGTTGACAAAGTTTGTCCGACTTTGCTGTTGCAAAATGGCTGCTGTGTTCATCTACAAATACACAGTCACTACACTTGATTGCACACTCCACCTCACCAAGCCAGTTAGGAATCTGGGCGTCTTCAACCTTCAACTGTCCTTTCTCTCCATATCCATGCCATGACCCGCTCTGCCTTCCCCCACCTCCACAACATTGCCCAACTCCGCCACTGCCTTACCGCTGAAACTCTCATACATGCATTTGTCACCCCAAGGCTCCCTCCTTAGTCGGCCTCCCCAACTCTTCCCTCCACAAGCTGCAGATCATCCAGAACTCTGCAGCTCGTGTCCTCTCGCACACCAGGCTTCGTGACTCCATTACCCCACCCTCGCCCGGCTCCACTGGCTCCCCATCCCTCAGAGGATAGAATTCAAAATCCTCGTCCTCACTTTCAAGGTCCTCCATGGCCTTGCCCCCTCTTACCTCGCTGACCCCTATCAACCTGTCCACTCCCTCCGCTCAGCAGGCTCCCGCCCTACCACCGCGGTCGGACTTTCAGCCTCTTTGTCCCCATTCTTTGGAACTCCATCCCACAATCCTTTCATCTTGCTCCCGCTGTTGCCTTCTTCAAGGCACGACTCAAGACCTTCCTTTTTGACCGTGCCTTCAGACGCCCTCCTACCCCCTCTGCCCTCCCTCATCCCAATCCTGCCCCCCCACGCTCGGGTCCTGATCCCTGACTATTCAGCGCCTTGGGACATCTTCCCGACGTGAAAGGCGCTTACAAATGTAATTTTGTTGTTGATAGTAATTATCTTTGAAGCCGCCAGTTGGACCACTCTGCTCTAGGTCATTTAAAATCCCCAATTTGGTAGAATAATTGAAATGAATGCATTGTGATAGGCAAAGGAGAGATTCTCAGCTAATTGGTCATCTTTCAAAAGCTAGGTAATGTGTCATTTGCCAAAATAGTTTCAAGGCTATCTTTACTACAACATTGCTCTACTGACAAATGTAATAAAACAGATATAAAAATTCCTATGGTACAACAAGATCAAGCAGTTACACCGGAAGGACATCTCAAAGCACTTCACAGAGTCAGGAGACTGAGCCCCAGTGATTACTAATAATTCTTGCATTTGATACAGTCCCTTATCACATTGTTGAGACATCTTAAATGCCTCACAGATTGTATTGTAAAGTGGAGTGACTGTGTATTTTGTGAGCGAAACCACCATAATTGCCGCATTTTGAAAGCAGAAATGGTCAAAGAATTAGGAAAGTTCAGCCGAGATTTCCAGCTACTTGGTAGGAAGAGATGGGTGCAAACAAGCATCTCTTTGGAGACCTACCATCCACAGATTTCCCAATGCTGTACAAGTGCGTGATGGATGGGTAGTCTTGGTTGATGGCGCGTAAAAACGTCTCCAGTTGCCGCCCGTTGTGATAGGTGAAGTTCAGCGCTACCGCTGACGAGATGATCGCCCAAAGCCACAAGAAAGTCATTTCCGACCCGTCCTGTCACAAAACATTAAAGAAAAAAAAAAACAACAACAACACAGGTTACAAAAACGAGCCAAGCCTTTTCCCCTCTGCCTTCCCTCGCATTGCACTGTGCGGATAAACAAACAAAAAAAAAAAAAAAAATTTATAAATAAATTGCAAGGCTGGTTACTGTTCAACCGTGAAACGTTTGGCAATCTGACCAGCCCCAGGTTCCTGCCACTTCATTTCATTGCAACCTCTCTTCTTCTTCTGCTGGTGCTGCTGCTGGTGCTGCTGGTGGTGGTGCAAACGAGAAATCGGATCGACCGGTGTTCAGACCACTCGCACACCTGAAAGTGACTTACCTGAGCAGCAAAAACAACCCCCACCCCAGAGCTGAGGCGCCGCTCGCATCAACGAGCAGCGGGTGCTCCACACCACCAGCGGTTTGAAAGCACTTTGCGCTGCGCCAACTCGGTTGGATTGACAGCGCTTCCCACTTGCGATTTGCTGCAGATCTCTGACCGGTACTGACAGCAGAACCTATCAACAACGTGGAGAGTGGATTCCTCTCCGCCTCCCTCCACCCGTCGCTCCCTTCCTCTTTTAACCCCACACCACCACCTCCCGCACTGCCATTCCCAAAGATGTAGCTTTAAAAAGTAACCCGATGGCTTCAGGTTGAAGTGATGGATGGACCTCTCTCCCTCCCTCCCTCCCTCCCTCCTGTGTTTGCTGTGTGGTCGATTGTTGGTGAATTGGCCAATTTCGACAGACATGTCACTGCTGGTACTTGCACTGACAATTTCAGCACTAATTTGGCAATAGGGGGGGGGGGGAGGGGTAGGATTAATTCCACTTGGGTGGAGGCTTTCGTGTTTTTCTGAGCCTTTGGAAATGTTGCTCATTTTTTTTTTTGCGATAATTCTTAAATGTGCAGATTCTTTCAAGAAATACAGAAAGCTGGTGGTGGTGGTGTTGTTGTCGTCAGCCCGGCTCGGTGGTGGCACTCTCGCCTCTGGATCAAAGGGTTGTGGGTCCAAGCCCCAATGTTGGGTCTTGGAATCGCACAGTCTAGGCTGACGTTCCAATGCAGTGCTGGGGTGTGTTGCGTTGTCGGAGGTGTCGTCCTTCGGATGAGACGTTACAGCGAGGTCCCAAACTGCCTGTTCAGATGGCCATCAGAGATCCAATGTTTTTTATGGTCAGCCTGCTATCTGACACATGCGGAAACCCATCACCATGCTTAAGAGTATCCAAGTCAAGCGGATATTTCCAAGGATCCCACCCACACATGGAAATTCCAGAGATAGATTGTTGGAATGGATTGCGCTTGCTCTTCCTGGAGGGATGCATCCTGCTTACCTAATTCCAGAAAGTATTTGGTGCTGGTTGGCAAGAGCCAAGACTTGGGGATGCCAGAGTATTCATTGGGGACTACTGCTGGAGTCTAACCAGCTAAAACCACTTAGCTTGCCATTGATATTGCTGTCCCGTCAAGCTTTCCCTCTGCTTGTCCAGCTAGGACCACTCTACACGTTAGGGCTTTGGCTTGCAGGGTTAACAGCAATGCGATGACTCCCTGTCCCCTGTGACTGGTCTTCCAGTACCTGTCGATGAGCTGTGTTGTCATCAGCAGTGCCTTGGAATACTACAGACCCGCCTGGCTCAGGAACCAATCACTACCGAGACCACCACAGCGGGCTGGTTCAATTCCGACATTCCGTTGCCAGGCATGTCACCTTGGAGCCAGTTTAGCTTCAAGGAGACCCCGATTATCTCCCTCCCGCCCCAAGAAGGATAGTCACTAGTTGGTTGTTCGACATCCGACAAGCACAGGTTTGAGCTCTCACTAGATGGACGGTAGGTACAAGGAACTCGCCGCAAATTTCTGGGTGGGTAACACATGTCAGCATGAAATGCGTGAAAGCATTGCCACCATCTTTCTGGCCGCTGCTCAGGCATGTGTCCCTTCCTATTGAGCAATGATTCCACCAATTGGAGGTGCAGAGTTTAAGCATCAGCTGCTTGCCTTTCTACAAGTCAATCAATTTGGATTCCAGGTACTCGACGTATAAACGTGTGTTCACGAACTTGGACTCCAGGTTGTCATCCCAAGCAGTTGTCGCCCCAAGCCTCAGAGTTTCCTCATCAGCTATCTTGGTGGGCATCTGCCTTCAGCGTGGTGGGCTGACCTTTACAGGATATGCCCGCCACCTTGATGTTCTTGAGGTCCAAGTCCAATGTCGTGTACCAGGCTTACTCAGCATCAGCTGCTCAATCCAGGTTCTCATGAGAGGGGCCTTGTCAAATAGACGTGCTTGCTGTGAAGCTGACTCTGCCTCCAGGGTGCTTAGCGATGACACTAATCAAAAATAGAAGGGAGTTTCTACTGATGCTGACGAACGATCTCCTAAATAAAATTTGGCATTTACAACAAGACTGTTTGTGGGACATGGCTGCAAATTGGCTGCCCCATTTATCCACTAATGCACAGTCACTCCAATTCAGAGTAAATCCTGTGAAGCGCTTTGGAACATGCTCCTGACACGAAAGGCGCTTTACCAAATGTAAGGATTATTATTCTTGTGATGAAAATTGAAAACAATGGCATTTTTTTCTCCACAATTTGGACTCTTTAAAATGCTAAGAAGAAAAGTCTAAGTCTAGAACCAAGTGAATTTTCTCCAGTATATGACTTTGACCATGTTTATAATAAAAGCCTTCACAATGACCACACTGAAACTGGTGATATGTTAGTAATATAATAACACAATAGGAATTACATCAAAGTGGATGAAGAGGGGAAAATATAAGGAAAAAAAGTTTGTGCCACAGACGATTTAAGTGCCTGCTGAAATTGAATGCTCAGGAATGGACCATGCCTGAATGCTTCAAGTAAAGTAACAAAAACAGAAATGACGTCTGCTGACATCATTCAATAAGTTTGCTTCCATTGCTTAACATATTCCCTGTTCAGAGAAAATAGCACATGAAGCAACAATGACTAAAAGTGAAGTGGAAAAAAACAGTAATACAGTCCAACCCACTAATGTTGACATATTGGGGAATTTTCAAATTTTGCAAAAGAAAAATGGCAACATAAGCTAACAAACAAGGCACACTTACACTGGTTGAAAACTGCTGCTGTATTTATTTACATGTATTTCATATACAATATTGTCAGAAGAATTGCTGTACGATTAATTTACAAATATTTCTTTACTCTGATTATAATTTCTGTATTATCTATTTACATGTATTTGCCTTAATTTATATATTGTCTCCTGCTTTACCAATGTCCAGGCTTTTTTAAAATTGTGCATCAACTTCAAGTTTTTCATAACCTTTTCCTTGGCCTCGATGGCTGCCAACTTTTAATGAGCTAAATGTTTTTGGTCGTGTGTTTGCAAAATTTCAATCAACCTTGTAGGGTGTTATGCTTCACGGATAACGTTTTGCAGACTTCTTATCTGGACTTTCCACCTTCAATTGCTTTCATTGCGCAATATTTATCCTCCATCTTTTTCAAGTCAAGTTTACATTTCATTCCATTCGTCGACAACACGGTAAGTTTTGTGTGTTGATGTGCAAAGGGACCAGGACCAAGGAAGGGCTTTGAGATAAATGGGTAGGACTGTTTAGGCTGAGATAAAGACCATCAGGGTAGAGAAATGGCAAAGACGGACTGGCACCAGGATTTCAGAATCCTGTACTCCTGTACTCTGAAAAACATTTAGAGCAGCAGATCATTCATGCGGTGTAATGGGCAAAGGTAGGGAGAAGTGGAAGGATGAGATTAAATGAGCCAAACCAATGTTTTGACCTTTTGAACTGTATCTGGAATCATTACATTCTCCAAAACAATTTAAAAATGCACCAATTTTTTGGTGTATCTGGAACTCCATCCCGCAGTCCCGCCATCTCACCCCCTCCTTTGCCACCTTCAAGGTCCACCTCAAGACCCTCCTCTTCAACCGTGTTTTCAATCTCCCTGCTTCCCCCCTGCCCTCCCCCACCTCAACCCTCAACTCAGGACCGTAACTCTGTCTGTCCAGCGCCTTGGGACATCCTCCCGACGTGAAAGGCGCTATACAAATGTGATTTTGTTGTTGTTGTTGTCATACATAATGAATGGTCTCCTCCAGGAAACTGTTCCTCTGATTGATTAATTTCCATCAAGACAGGACTGGGGGAGAAAGAAACAAATGAATCCTTGCATTTGATTTAGCATTTTTCACGTTGGGAGGCTGTCTCCAAGGCACTTCGGAGGATTGACTGCGAAGGGTAGTGACTGTATTTTGTAGGCAAAGTAGCCAGTTTGTGCATAATAATACTACACAAACAACCATGAAGTGAATGACAAATTTTATCTCAGGGATTGTGGCCAGGACACGTGGAGGAATTCAGGAGGGGAGAAAAGGGTGGGATGACATCAGTTGGGAGACTATAATATTTGGATACTGGGTCCTTTATCTTGGATTGTGTTTGGTTGTTAACCAAGTGGATTGTAAATACACTTACTGCTATTTGCAATCCACTGCATCTTACTTTGCCAGCAGCTACAGTATATTGTCAACCCATCTTGTTGGATGTTAGCTGAAATCATTTGAACTTGTCAAGCTGATGAGTGGAAGTAGCCCAATGAATGTGATGTATGTATAATGCTGTTGATTAAAATATGCACTTTTTTGGTACAAAGTATTATTGTCCACAACAGAGGCTGTTGAAAGGTGTGGGTTATTTTTGTTGAGAGTTAGAAAAGATTCCAAATTCCTAAGCAGGTTACTATAGAAAATATAATAGGAAGTCTGATATATACACAAATTAGGGTCTGACCCCCTCCCCCCCACCCCCCTTGTAATTATAAATTCATTGCAATTATCAAATTACAACTGAAATACAATGAACTGCACTGTTATGCTTGCATAGTTTAACCAAAAATACTTTGACATGCACAGCACAGGATATTGCAGATGTTTCACAACCACTTCAGAAAAGCTATTTTTACAGCACAATGTACAATACAATTTACATTTATATAGTGCCTTTAACATTGAGAGAATGTCTCAAAGCGGTATTTACAACTGGCTAGGCACGCAAAATCAAATGAATGCAAATTTGAGTTCGCAAAAAGTTGGAAGTGGCAGTCAACAAGCAATTGACTCTGTCATGACTTTAAATTAAATTAAAATGATCCACTACAATTGAAAGATGGACTAGAATAAAAGCATTTTTTCTTCACAGTTTTCTTACAAATATCATGACGTAGTAAGTGTTGGCAATGCTAGTACTAATCATAATTTTAGCTTAATGCTGGGAACATAATAATAATAATCCTTGAATTTGATATACATACAACAAACTAGAGACAAACGTCTTGTGTTTCTGGAGAAGTTCAATCCACCAACTACTGTGAATTTCCTGGGTTACTAGAAGAAGTTGAAAGGGTTTTACTGAATTGAAAGAAACACAGGAAAAGACGAATG